AAAAATTGTATTGAAATGACATATATGTTGTTTACTTATTTCATGGCATGCACCTAAACCTGTTAAACAGTAAAGCAATGTGTGTTCGATATCGAAAATGACATATACACCATTTTTTATATTTCAGGAACGAGTTCAATGTCGTTATACAAATCAGTTAAGCAAAGTGTATTTGATGTTGAAACGATATCGAAGTCATTTTATGTTTTCAGAATGATTTTAATATCGTTATGCAAATAAGTGAAACAGCATCAGCAGCTCATTTCCATCCACATTTTTATAAGTTGATAAGTTATATTTTACGATTTCTTCAAACTGCAATATTTTGGTGCTGACTCATCCGAATCGACTTTTTCTCAATTCGAATAGTTCTTATTAATTATAAGCTTTAAAATGAGTCTAATATCGATATACTACCTCGCTTTTTATCAAAATCTAATTATTGGACTCTAAATAAGATATGATTTTAAAAAATATTTTTTGTCCATTTTTTTTTCAAAATATAATGATAAAATGTATTTAAAATTTTTTTTGTATGTTATAATATGTGTCTAATGAATAAATGACTTAGTAATTATTTTTGACTAGTTGCTAAATTGTGTAAATGTTAAAACTTTGGGTGCATCAGAGATCAACTACGGAGAAGAGATGACCTTAAATTTAAAAAGAAGAGTTGGTATTTTAAGGAGAAGGTGATTTTGAAGGGGAATATTTTTTGAATTTGAAGGAAAAGAAGACTGTGTGTGTTAGAACATGAATGCATAGTTATTAGAACCAACCCGATGATCGACTCGGAAAAAACCACTAGTTCAATGGTTCAATCAGTGAGTTATTGTTAAATTTTAATTTTAATTAAATTTTATTTTTGAAGTGAAAATGAAACAATTTTTTGAAATAAATAAATAAATAAATAAATAAATAAATATATATATATATATATATATGTTTACAAAAACAAATGACCATGACATGCCATAATGGTTGCGTTGTTAAAATATTTTCTTGCGATCCAAGGTTCAACTCACGACTCCAGCAAATTTAGAGAAAAACTCCAATTCCTTCTTCATTTTTGTTTTACAAGTTAAGGGTAAAGAAGTCTTTTGACACTTTAAAATAATTAAAGCTCCTTTTATTTTTATAATTTTGGTCAAAGGCCAATTGAACAAAATGTGTTTTAGTAGTGGCCTTCCCAACTCATTTTCCCAATATTTTGCTTATAGCTAAATACACAATGATGGTTGTAGGGGGTTTGTTTCCAGAAGATAATAGGTAGCCAATTAGTTAGGTCAACCACACAAATCATCAAAGACTATCAAATGGGCCATGAGCAACATTAACTAAAAAATGTTTCAAATGGCTTCATTAATTTTTAGATCAAGTTGTTGGTTTGGGTCCCAACTTGTGGTGTTATTTCAATCCTTGGCCAAAACCCATGAAATTAACCATTAAACATCGTCCTAAGATTCATTGGGTATCAATAAAATATGTGGCCATGATGTGGTGTCCCTCTTTTGGTGGTGGTGGTGGTGGTTTTGGGGGGGGTGGGGTCAAGCAGCTTTGTTCTTTTTTAAATAATGCTATCTAATACAAGTAATGTTAACTGATATGTCATTTTACATGTGACTCATATTCTCACTTTTTAAATTTCATGTGGTGCTAAATAGCCCTACATTTTTTTTTAAATAAAGTATTTATTATTTAGAATGTTAAATGAATTCAAAGAGAAGATCATGCATGTTCGTTAGTGACCGTGCTGAGACATAGGCTAGCCCACATTTGAAGGCGAGGCCGTTGAGACTCATGTCCACAGCCAGCGTGGGGCCACATTAATTGTAAATAAACTTGCATCACATTACAATTATTATTATTTTTTTTTTGTGATTTTAGTTTTATAATTTTCGACAGCCATATCAAAATTAGATCCTAGATTTTCTAAAGACTATGTTTCTTTCAAGTTAGAGGAATTCATCAATTTATATATAATAATTCCTCTCGTAAAAAAAAATTATATTGCCGTAAATGAAAATTGCTCTTTTACTTGCATTGTATACCAGCTTGAATCTCATTTAAATATTAAAGTTGTAGCATCTTTCAGCATAGTTTCATATTCAACATGAGCAGTGAGCTAAAGGAAAGGGCGGGTCACCAACTCAATGAGTCCAAGGTTCAATTGCTAACCATTAATTGAGCCGGCGACTTCAACTTCCTTTCAAATACAATGAAAACCATTTTATTATATAATAAAATAGTTATGGAAATTATCATTCACTAAAATAATACTTCATTTAGTTCAACCTTTATTTTGGGTTTGGAGGGGGAGGGGAAAAACAATAAAGAATAAATTATTTTATATATAATGAAAATGATATTATTATAAAATAAAATAATTATGATAATTATCATTCGCATCATTAATCCAATTTTATTTTTATTATTATTATTTTTTTTTTGAGTCTTTATTGGTGGGATGGGGCAAAATAATAAAGATTAAATTGATGGGATTATGTGAAATGGACCAACTATGAACTATGCAAATAAAAATTTAAGGTTAAGAACTGAAAAGACTGATTTTAAAGGTCGAAGGGTGTATTTATTTTCTACATGTGCTAAAGGTGAAGACTTATTTTGTGAGTATTAATAAAAGGTTTTTCTATTTTAACCTTTATTTCCCCCTAGCTTAAAAAAATAAGAGGAAAAATGAATGACTTACAAAAGTGGATGTTCTGATGTTAGAAATTGTTTGACAAAAGTATGGATAAAATTTCGCATTGAATAGACATGAAAGTATAGAACAAATTTAAAGGTCTCGATTAATCCTCTTAATAAAATTAACATTTTAAATTCAAACTCTAGTCTTAATATGCTATTAAAGTTTATTAAGCTACAATGAGCAATTCGATTCCATTAAAACGAAAAATCGAGCACAAAAATTTGGTAATCGAAAATAGAATTCAATTCCTTTGAAATCCGAGTACATTATTCAATTAATAAAAATCAGCCCATCTACATATGAACACCAATAGCCAACAGGAAAACGCAAATGAAACCAAAATACATAATAGAATGAACCAGTATGGATACCGCACTAGTCTTGAAGTTTCCAAACTCAAAGTACCAGTTACCACCCGGAATCTGAATCAGCAGACCCGGCAACAACAGAATGAACAGCACAACGCCCCGAAAACCGGACCCCAATACATCATCATCTATGTCTATGGAACAAATTTTCTTCGATACAGTGCAATGGGGGTGGAAATGTGGTTATAAAGGTTTAGGAATTGGAAAAGGTGAAGCAGGTTACATGATGAAGTTAATGTGGATTCACGCTTAAGTACATTTTGTGCCCGTTTCCTCCACTATCACGCCAATTTATTCTCAAGTTAATGAAGATTCCATCGCTGAGTTAATGAGTCTCCATTTTTCATTTCCAGGATTTAGCCCAGATTAGGAAGTGCCCAAAAAAACTTAACATATCCCGCATGATAAATTCCGTAGGGTTCATTCATTGGAAATTGAAAAGGTTTATTTGTAATTACCTTCTTTACGTTACTCATCATACCCTTTACTATGAATTAAATGGGGGTACTTAAGGGTTGATATATGAATTTTTCCCATGTTAATAATAAAATATCCATTAGTGAGAAGGAAAGCAAGCAAGAATGAGAATAAAATTTCTTATTTGATGATGACGAAATACAAAGATATGGGCACGAAGAAGTAAATAAATCAACGTGAACGTTTGGGTTCAATTATTGGCCCAGTTAAAGGCAATGTAAGCATGAGTTAGGAATTCACTCAACAAAATTATAATGAAACGGTTGAAAAGAGAATAGCATTAATAGCAAATTAAATTCCCATCTAAGGAGTTATGGGATATCATTGTTTATAAGTTACATTTTTAATAACTCATGAGAAAAATTCTATGAAAATGGAAAAGTAGAAAATCCTTTATTAATTTTAAAAGTATGAGGAGGATTCACAAAGGTGACGTTCCCTAATTCAAAAGTGCTTAAAATGAGAATGAAAATCAATTATTATATTTATATTGGATAGGAAATAATATTATTGAAATGTATGAAGAGTATTCAAGTGATGAAAGGCATCATAATGGATTCAATGGTTATTGTATATCTAGACCAAGGATTCAAAAAAATTATGTTTCACAATGATTTCGTGTATTAGAAATTCTACAAATATGTTGTGTATTTGTAGGTCGAGTTAGAGCTTTAAATAAAGCTAGAAATAAGCACGTTATTTCAAAAATTGGAGTCAGAATTCTGAATCGGCGACTTATGTCTATTATCCATAAATTAATTGTGATAGCTAGCTACTTTTACTAAGATATAAATTTATTGTATTATGTCAATATCGACAAATATATCAAAGACATACTATAATAAAATAATTGATCTCACATGGTGTAATAACGTGGATCCACTTTTAAAAGTTTACTAAGAGATTAAGTATACTGCATATTGAGGAGAATTATTTTAAAGCCCACTATGTAAGAATTTTAATAATGATAACCCAACATTGTTGATTGAAAATCACAAGATGTTAGTTCAATGGGATAACCAAGTTATAAAAAATCAATGAGCACTTGAAATATAATTCATATCCATTTTATAATAAGAAATGTGCTATCTAACACATGTTTATGATTAGTTAAAGTTTTAATTATCCATATAGCTTACATAAACAAACTAAGTGTGGTGTAATGGTACTCTTAATAGGAGATTATTTATGTAATTGTAAATTGGGATTGCTTTCATAAGAATGTTTAGTGCATGAATTCTCTGAAGCACTTATGATATCTAGGAATGATTAATGGAGTTACTTTTGCAAGTATTAAAGATGATGATGATGATGATAAGTAGAAATGATGTTATTGTCATCTTCCATTAAAAATTATGATAAGTAGAAATGATGTGATTTCATTACTCAATTTCCTATTACTTCATGCATTTTGTCAAATTCTTATCGCCGAATGTTACTAGCAGGTAGTTCCTGCCTGGTTGAGCTGCTTACCTATAAAAGGTGATCTTATTGAAGTAAAAGTTGTTCATGAGCAGCTTTGCACAATGGTCGAGAGGTAGACAATGGAGATGGCTCTAATTTGGCATTGTTGGAAACCAAACTTGTTGCTAAAGACCTTCATTTAAGTATATTGATCTGTTTTCCTCTTGTAGGTTCGATAGGGAACTTCTGGGTCCCAACAATCAATATCTTCCCAAAATAGTCGCCGTATTTGTTGAGGTCAGTTCTCACTATATGATAAGTGAATAAATTAATGTGCATTTTATGTTGTGTTGTGAAATTTCGAATAGAGTATTACAATCTAATTAGCCTGCACTTGACTTATACATGAATATGCTTTGAACCTGTGATCATTACATTTTTTTGTCTAGTGTATTTAGAAAGAGAGAGAGAGAGAGAGAAAAATGTATTGACTATAAACTTTTTCCACTGCTATAGGTCCTACGTGTCATTACATAATTTTTGCTCAAGTCCTATTTCTCAGGTGAGCAATGGCTTTTGCTTGCTTATTTATAAACTATTAAACATATAGGAAATGTTTGAAGCCTTGTCGGCTTATATGATTGCATTGTTGTATTGCACCCTTGTCGGGTTATATTGACTTTTGTTAGATTTAATCGAATGATCAATTGTATAGACGCACGTAGTCATATACCATGGTGCCTCCTAAATATGAGTCTAGAACTCAAAAAATGAAAAAGGAAATGCATAATACAATTTTTTTTCCTGAGGAGGGGGGCCTAATTTATAAAGTTCGCCTCAGGGCCCTGACAGCATAGGACCGGCCCTGGAGGCATGGTGAATTCAACCAACAAGTTCGGAATAATTGCTGTAAATTTTACTATGCAAATTATGTAATGTAAGTTCTAAATTATTAATTTTTGTTTCTATCATCTGCTTGTGCTAAATTAGAAACAACAAGATTATGGCAAATTTTGATCTTATCTATTTTGATTTAGGCGTTCAAATCAAATCAAATCAATTATCCAAATCTGCATAATAATTATGGCAATGTCACGAGCATCTCCAATGTATTCTATAAATTATAGTCCACATGACATTAAAGTATAAGAATTTATTGTCTACGAGGCATTTGTTAGGCAATTTGTTGTCAAACAACCTTCTCGGATTGTGATATATTTCGGTTTAATTCCCAGTCGGCTTTTGTAGCGACAAATAATAATAATAATAATAATAATAGTAGTAGTAGTAGTAGTAGTAGTAGTAGTAGTAGTAGTAGTAGTAGTAAATCTTGTGCCTCGTTTTAAAAGAAAAATTCCTTGTAAAACCCAAAAATAGTTTGAGTTATATTATTGCGTCTCTACGACCCTTCCTAAGAATTTAATTAAAGCTTTGGTCGTGATAGTAAAGTTATGTGCACTTGTTTTAAAAATTTTATAAGGTGTTGAAATCTCTTTTAAACGATAAATATTTATTTTGATGACACTTCTTAATAGTCCAAGTTAATGTTTTGCTCACTATAGTAATGTTGGCTCACTTGTCTAAAGATTTTCGTAAAATGTCGAATTCAAATTTAAACCACAAATTTCCTATTTTGAGCTGGCCGTGCCGAGTTATTCTAATAAAATTAAAGTGTTATCTTTGAATATATATATATATATATA